TAAATCAGATCCACTCAACCAAGATGCACTATCTGATTGTCTTGAGTTGGCTACGTCAAACAACCCCAAGCTCAGGGCACACAGACAACTAGAGCGTGTTTGGTGCCCACGTGGAGCTCTGAACTACTGTAATCACACCATAACAGCTGGGTACCTACCACTTCTATAGAGAAGAGTAAAGGGTTTCTAACAGCCAGAAATACTAGTGGGTATTTCGACAATCTGCATGAGAGGGATGGCTTATATTGTTATATTTACTGCCATATCTTGGCAAAATTCAACTTACTAGTTAAAGAGGCATATAATTACTGTTTTTTTCTTTGAAGTTCATCCATCTATCTATCTATCTATCTATCTATCTATCTATCTATCTATCTATCTCCCCCCTCCATCCCTAACCCCTTCCTCCCCCATCTGTGTATGCCTGAATTGTACTTATGGAGACAAAGGCAGATGTCAGGTGTTGTCCTTAATCACTTCCCCATTTATCTGAGACAGGGCTCCTTGCTGGCCTGGAGCCCAGTGACTGGAGAGAATACCCATCCAGCAAGCACATGCTCCTGCCTCCACATCCCCAGGGCACAGCACCATGCCCAGGTAGGTGCATTTATTCCTTTGGCTCAAGGCTTTATATTATGTGAAAATTTTATTTGTGAGCATTAAGTATCATTCAGTATTTATATGTTTGTATCTGACCCTTTTCTAAGATGGATTTTAAATAACAGAAGAAGACAAAGGTTACACATTAGGACTGGGAGAGAAGGAAAGCAGAGTAGGCAAAAAATGAGATACAGATTGTATCCCCTTGATCTCCTTCAACTGTCTTATTGCTCTAGCAAGGACTTCCAGAACTATGTTGAAGAGATATGGGGAGAGTGGGCAGCCTTGTCTTGTCCCTGATTTCAGTGGGATTGCATTAAGTTTCTCTCTGTTTAGTTTGATGTTGGCTATAGGCTTGCTGTATATCGCCTTTACTATGTTCAGGTGTGTGCCTTGTATCCCTGATCTCTCCAGTACTTTAAACATGAATGGGTGTTAGATTTTGTCAAATGCTTTTTCAGCATCTAAGGAGATTATCATGGGGTTTTTTTCTTTCAGTTTGTTAATATGGTGGATCACATTGATGGATTTCCGTATATTGAACTACCCCTGCATACCTGGGATGAAGCCTACTTGGTCATAGTGGATGATATCTTTGATGTGTTCTTGTATTTGGTTTGCAAATATTTCGGTGAAGCTGGAAGCAACCTAGATGCCCTTCAACTGAAGAATGGATGCAGAAATTGTGGTACATCTACACAATGGAATATTACTCAGCAATGAAAAAAAGAAATCATGAAATTTGCAGGTAAATGGTGGGAACTGGAAAGGATCATCCTGAGTGAGCTGTCCCAGAAGCAGAAAGACACACATGGTATATACTCACTCATATAGACATATAATATAGGATAAACCTACTAAAATCTATACACCTAGAGAAATGAATCAAGAGGGAGGATTCTGACTAAAATGCTCAATCACCATCCCAAAAGGCAAAGAGGATGGACATCAGAAGAAGAAGAAAACAGGAAACAAGTTAGGAACCTGCCACAGAGGGCCTCTGAAAGGCTCTGCCCTGCAGACTTTCAAAGCAGATGTTGATTTTTATGGCCAACTGTTGGGCAGAGTGCAGGGAATCTTATGAAAGAAATGGGAAATAGTAAAATCTGGAGAGGACAGTAACTCCACAAGGAGAGCAACAGAACCAGAAAATTTGAACACAGGGGTCTTTTTCCTGAGACTCATACTCCAACCAAGTACCATGCAGGGAGATAACCTAGAACCCCTCTACAGATGTAGCCCATGGCAGTTCAGTGTCCAAGTAGGTTCCATAGTAATGGGAACAGGGACTGTCTCTAACATAAACTGATTGACCTGCTCTTTGATCACCTCCCCCTGAGAGGGGAGCAGCCTTACCAGGCCACAGAGGAAGACAATGCAGCCATTCCTGATGAGACCTAATAGACTAGGATCAGAAGAAAGGAGAGGGGGACCTCCCCTATCAGTGGACTTGGGGAGGGGCATTCGTGAAGAAGGGGGAGGGAAGGTGGAATTAGGAGGGGAGGCAGGAGGGTTTATGGGGGTACAAATTGAATAAAGTGTAATGAATAAAAGCTAAAAAAATCAGACACGGAAGCGGGTACTTGACAGGCCATCCTTCACAGTGCTGGCTAGCGACAACAGTGAATTGGGCAGCAGAGTCATCTAATGGTCAGGCTCTCCTTCTTGGTCTTTCTTAGAAGCCCTTTCTGAATCAATACTATCTTTTTCCAGAATGAACTCCCCCAAATGTCAGGCAGAACTGCATATACTTTCTTTCACTAATTAGATAAAACTGTGTGTAAGTATGTGGTGGGGGGTGGGAATCCCAGAATAAATTTCTGATATGTAAGTGCCCACATACCATATTTATAAGTATATAAAATAAATCTTCAAATATATCACTTAAAATTATTTAACGTAGAATTTAGTAATTGATAAAGTAATGAAAGGTTAATATAAATAAGTTCTATAAAATCGAAACTTGATCAACTATTTCTCCACTTATTCCTAAAGCACCATCTAGCATCTCTGCTCAGTGAGCTCTGGGTGGCCACCCTTGTTAAATATTCCAGCTAAATGCTAAACATAGCAGTCCAGATGAGTTCTAGTGCCTGAGAATACAATGAGGCTGTTATCTCCTTGCTTTAAAAGGAATTATTAAGCTGGGTGCAGTGGTCCACACCTGTAGCCCCAGCACTTAGGAAGGCAGAGGCAGGTGGATATCTGTGAGTTCAAGGCCAGTCCTGTCTATAAAGCAAGTCTAGGACAGTCAAGCTGTTACACAGAGAAACCTTGTCTCAAAAAACAAACAAACAAACAAAAAAAACAAAACACCACCACCAACAAAAGATTATTAGCCCTGGCTGCATCCCAGGAGTGCTTTTAGCTTTGGTTGTGTTTGTTGTTAATTTCTTTTCTTTCTTTTGTTTTAAAGAAAAATGCCCACACCTTCTTTATCCTACAGAACCAGTGTCTCTGTAGGACAATTGCTATGGTGCACATTTGTGAGATTAGTGATTTGGAGCCCAGTTTATCATGTAAATCAATTTAATTGCTCCAATCTATGGAAATTTTTAAGATCCCATTCTATTTTGGAATGTTTTTTATTTTGTCCTATTGCATGGCCTTTGCAATTGTAATAAATTTCTATCTTAAAGCGTCATGCAATTAAAATTCAATGCTTCATCTCTTAAAAATGGTGAGTGGGCCAAGGCTGAGGCCCAGGCTCTATAACAAACAAGGAGGAACCCTATATGAAAGGAGCTTATTACTTAGCCCTGTGGCAGGGTGGAATTGGTGTACCTTTCCTCTGCATGTTCTGTAAGACAAGCATTGCATTTTCTAGAATTCCTTACAACTAGAATTCTAGGTAAGCGTACAATTTCATAAGAGGGCAAACAAAAGAATAAACAGAGGCCACATCCTTCAGTTATTCTTCTAGTAAGCATGGTCCAGGGGATCTCAAGATCTTTACAGAAGTTCCCTGGCACCAGCTTCCCTGATGCTTAGAAGAAATGCCACAGTATGCTGTGACAGCAGCAGCAGCAGCTCTGCACAGACTTTCTCCTTCAGCCTGTCCACTAGTTTTGGTAACATCCATATTTTTTACTTAAATCTCCCTGTGTTTAAAATGTCTGGTCTTGGGGCTAGCGAGAAGGCACAGCAATTAAGATCACTTGCTACTTTTCCAGAAGACATGGGTTCAGTTCCCAGCAGCCACATGAAGGAGGCTCAGAAACAGCTGAAGCTTCAGTTCCAGGGGATCAGACATGTTCTTCTGACATCTGCAGGCACCTGCATGCACATAGCACACATACATATCCACAGGCCCAAACACATACATAAAGTAAAATGATAAATGAATCTTAAAATATCTAGACATAACTTCTATTTCTTCCAATTTATTTAAACACACTGATATAATTCTCACCTCAAGTTAACTCAATATAGTCCTAGACAGAAGACACACATCAGCTGGGTACTCTTACCATTTCCTCATCACAGCAGAGGTCAGAGAGTCCCTGCCCCTCTGCCACTTGAAAAATGGTATGTAGTAGAATATAACCTACCATATAGGACCACACTAGTAAAGAGAAAGGAAGAGAACGGTCAACAGTGACAGAGATGGCCACTGCTTTCTCCTCACTGAAATACTATGTTCTATACCACTGACTGCAGGTCAGAGTTGGGTGCGGTCCATGGAAGACTTTCAATTTTATCATTCTGTAAGCAACACAGGTAAAGGCGACTGTCTCAGCGGTCACCAGCACTGCAGCAGCCAGCTTCCGACATGAGCAGCTGCAGGAGTGCATGAGACTGAGCCTTCACTGTGAGCCTTCTTATGTTTCCTCTCCTGTTTGCACTTCTGTCTCTGTGGTTTAACTGATAATTTACACTGTGTGCAATAACATTACGTTGTATTTATTGGAACCAATTTTTAAGTTGTTTTTTAATTGGAAAAGTAAATGTTAGAAACACTATCTTCTCCTTAAAATATTTCACAAATTAAATTATGGGTTTGTAACTTGCAAAAGAAAATAGTCCTGTAAAAAGTTAAAGATATATTGTTCCATTTTTTGTTTTGTTTTTTTCTGAGACAGGGTTTCGCTGTCCTGGACTCACTTTGTAATCCAGGTTGGCCTCAGGTTCACAAAGATCTGCCTGTCTCTGCCTCCTGAGTGCTGAGATTAAAGGCATGCACGACCACTGCCCAGCTAAGATGTATTGTTAAGTGTTACATATATTTTAAAGCTTTTTTTTTTTAAGGCTGAATTTTGCTGTTAAATAAGCCCCAAGCTAAAATTTTCTATAACTGTCTCTAAAAAAAAAACAAAAACAAAACAGAATTGATCCTGGTTTCAATGTGAGTACACTTTCAAAAGAGAAAAGCATTTTTTCAGTGAGAAAAAGCCACATACTTTTCATAGTTCCATCTTCTTCTTCCTCATCCTCACTATTTATAACCATGGTCCCCAGGTCCGATTCTAACATCGTGCTATTGTGTTCAATCATCGTTTGGGCCCCTTCACTCATGGTGCTAGTGGCCCGCATCGTGCCCACGCTCTCTGCACTCGTCTTCACCATAGTGTGGGAGTCCAGCTCATCTTCATCCTGAAGGCAAAACACCACAGTGAACAAAGACTCCCCAAGACAGCCGGGTCTCCAGCTCTTAGTAAGAATGCATACACGCTTTTTCTAGTGATAAATGGTACTGTTACTATTATAATACTCGACAAGTTAAAAGGAGGGATTCAGGCAGATACTAGTGTAGCAGTGACTGCCCACAGCAGCATCATTTTCACAACTGTCAAAAGGTAGAAATAACCTAAGTATTTATTTTATTGTGAATGCAAACAGCAAGATGTGTTATATACATACAAATATCATTCAGCCTTAAAAGGGAGTGAAATTCCAACACACACTGTGCTGCAATACGGATAATCTTCTCTCTCTCTCTCTCTCTCTCTCTGTGTGTGTGTGTGTGTGTGTGTGTGCGCGCGCGCATACAGGCAAGCTAACTCTATTTACTTGATAAACCACTGAATTCTTTTCTACGATAGTATAATTTTATATTCCCAACATCAGTGACCAGGATTCTAATTCTCTGTTTCCTCACCAATATTTGTTATTTTTGATTTTTAAGAATGGTAACCCAAATGGGTACGAAGCAGTGTTACTCCTGTTTGATTTATATTTTCTAAATACTAGTGATACTGAGAAATCTTTCACATATTTAATAGCTCATTTGTGTATCTTCTTTGAAAAAGTGTTTATTTAAGACCTTTGGCCTTTTCTTTCTTTCATGGCTTTTTGAGGCATAGCTTCTCTGTGTGACCAGGCTAGACTTGAACTGGTAACTCCTGGCCCTCCCTCCTAAGAGCTGGGATCATAGACCTGTGCCACTATGCCTAGCTTCCTCTGCCCAGTTTGACTCAAGCTGCTTGTTGCAGCAGAAGTGTCAGGATTGTAGACTTACACAATCTGATTAACACTTGATTAGATATTTGATTTGCAAATATTTTTTTCTTCTCCTGTGAGTTGCCTTTTCACCTTTTGGATGGCATCTTTTGATGCACAGTAGGTTTTTATTTTAAAGAAGTCGAATTTATCTTTTTTCTTTTCCAGATTTTGTTGCCGGCAGTTTTAAGTGTTTCACAGAAAAAGGCAGACAATGTAAATGTGAAGGCACCTACTTCATGTACAGATGTACACGCAGGCAAAATACCCATGATCCTATTTTTTAATTAAAATACAGTTCTTATACAGGCATACAAAGTGCAGATGTGGAGAAAAGAAACCCAATCCTGAATTCTCAGCAACACAGGTGACTTGAAGTAATGGCGGCGGGTGCATGGCTATCTGACACTTTCCTCTTCTTCAGCCTTACTGACAAGCCTGGGCACCACACCTCATCTTGTGGTCTTCTCCCAGAGCCCCTCCTCTTTTTAGATGACATCTTTATTCTCCGGCTTCCAACTGTCTGACCTGTCCTTATTTACTCCTTAAGGACATCTACACCTCAGGATCTCCACATCAGCCCTGTTCACATCTGTCTCTTCTTTGCTGGGGTCTCTTCAGCAGCTTCGCAGAACAGCAGTGCTTCAGTGCCCCCGTGTTTTCATTCTCCTTCACTCCTGTATCTAACCGATCAACAAGCTGTTTAGGCTTCCTGTCTTCTTTAGTCATTCCTGAAGCCACGGAGCATGCTGCCCAGCTTACCCCTTGACTAGTGTGTGTTATTACCACCAAACTGAAGATACTTTCAGAAACTACAAAGGAATTAGTTCTATTCCCATCTCAACTGGCTTACCAGGCATACAATTTCCCACAAATGTTTTAAACTCTGGACTCTAGGCTTTTCATTGGTGTTATTATGACAAAATTAAGAAGTTGTGAAAACTTCATGCTACATGGAACAAGGGGATTTCATACTGTTCTAGTCATTCTTGAATATTATTTGTATCACAATACTGAGGAAACTTCAATGGGTCCTGGTTCTTGCCTATACTTTAAAGTCCTCTCTGCTCTTACCTTGCCATTCCTATTTTCTTATTTTCCATTTGTCCTCCACCACAGATGAGCTGCGTGAACATTCACCATACTCCCCAATGCTGCTTTGCTTATTAAGACTCCCTTTCTGTTCATGTCTTATTGCTAGAGAATGCCCTCCCTCTGTGCTGACTTCTACAGATCATCAATTTGACAGGCTCAAGATTCACTAAGGAGATGGCCTGTGAGAGATTATCTGGATTTGATCAATTTTTGACCCTACTGCTGATGGATTTTCTGATGAGGTTGTCTGAGTTGAGAGACCATCCTGAAGCTGGGCAGTACCTTCCTTGGACATGGATCCTGGACTGAATATGATGGAGTGACTGAGCGCCACCATTCATTGTTCTGTTTCCTGACTGTGAATGCCATGCCACTGCAAGTTCCTGCTGCTGCCTGACTTCCCTGCCTGATGGGCTGTATCTTGAATCCTAAGCCACAACAGCCCCTTCATTCCTTAAATTGCTTTTTCCAGAAATGAGAAGAGTAACTAATATATAGCCTCTGCATATTTAATTAAATTCAAGTATCTTTATCTACATGGTTAATCAGCTTTTTATTAATCATTTTATTTCCCAAACCAGTAGAATTTATAACATTCAGGACACATTGTTACATGTAAATTTATGATTTCCTAATTTTAGCACTTATTCCATGAAAGTTCTTATAAATACATGTATCTTCTGGATAATAATAGACAAGAAAGCCATATGCTGCTGAGTCAACTCATTTCACCCTACATATAAACACAGGAAGAATTTAACATTTTCAGTTTCATAGAATTATAAAATCAATAGATTTTACAATAGGAAAAATACTTAAAGCCCTCATTTTATATCTGAAAAAAAAAAAGACTACGTCCATAGAGAGTAAAATTACTCTAAGGTTACATATCTACTTAAGCACAGAACTAAAATTAAGAAATGCATTCTTTACTTTCAAAGCATTTACTCCACCACATAGGTGTAACTTATTTACAGTTTCATTTTGACTACTTGAATGCTCAGGTCAGAGATACAGGCTTACAATGTTAAGAGGTCAGTTATCCAATTACTTTTACAAATAACACTTATTTGTACGTCTGTGTGAGTGCATGTGTGTCTGTGTTCGTGTGTGCACATTTGTCCGTGTGTGAAAGCTGCAGGACATGTTCAGGAGTTGGTTTTCTCCTGCCACTATCTGGGTCCTGAGGATCACATTGAGGTTGTCAGCCTTAAAGGCAATTGCCTCCTTCCCTCAGCTATTTCATTAACCTTACTTTGCAGTTCCTATCCCCGGAGTTCAGACATTACTCCACTTACAATGCTCTGAGCCTCATCTTTCCCTTAAACTATCAAAACAGCTTCATGTGTTCTCCGTTTCCACTCTTGCCTTTTCCATCTCTCGAACAGCAGGAAGACTGAGCCTTTCAGAAGAAAAACCACGTTACTCTATTGCCATAAGCACTTGGCTTTTCCTATGAAATCTTTATCACAGTGAAGTGTGATCTGGCCTTGTAACATGTGTCAATTCCATCCCCTGTCACATTCCTTTTGCTCACACTGGCCTCCTCAGAATTCTACCACTATTCCTGTCTGAGTCTTTAAATTGGCTGATCTTGCAGATGGAAATGTTCTTCGGTGGACAGTGTGATCCAGAAGCTGCAAACAGCCCGATGCCCCTCAGTGGAGGAATGGATACAGAAAGTGTGGTGCATCTACACAATGGAATACTCATCAATCAAAAACAAGGAAATCATGAAATTTGTAGGCAAATGGTGGCAACTGGAAAAAATCATCCTGAGTGAGGTATCCCAGAAGCAGAAAGACACAGAGGGTATGTACTCACTCATTAGAGGATATTAGACATATAATATAGAATAAGCATACTAAAATCTGTACACCTAAAGAAACTAATCAAGAAGGAGGACTCTGGCTAAGATGCACAATCCTCATTCAGAAAGGCAAACGGGATGGACATCAGAAGAGGGAGAAAACAGGGAACAGGACAGAAGCCTACCACAGAGGGCCTCTGAAAGGCTCTACCCTGCAGAGTATCAAAGCAGATGGTGAGACTTACAGCCAAACTTTAGGCAGAGTGCAGGCAATCTTGGGAAAGAAGTAGTAAGACCTGGAGGGGACAGGAGCTCCACAAGGAGAGCAACAGAACCAAAAAATCTGAACACAGGGGTCTTTTCTGAGACTGATACTCCAACCAAGTACCAGGCATGGAGATAACCTAGAACCCCTGCACAGATGTAGCCCATGGCAGTTCAGTGTCCAAGTAGGTTTCATAGGAATGGGAACAGGAACTGTCCCTGACATGAACTTAGTAGCTGGCTCTTTGATCACCTCCCCCTGAGGGGGGAGCAGCCTTACCAGGCCACAGAGGAAGACAATACAGCCACTCCTGATGAGACCTGATAGACTAAGATCAGAAGGAAGGGGAGGAGGACCTCCCCTATCAGTGGACTGGGGGAGGGACAAAATATGATTGGGAGGGGAGGAGGGAGGAAGCTACAGGTGGAATACAAAGTGAATAAACTGTAATTAATAAAAATAAAAATAAAAGAAATGCTCAAAAGAAGACAGTGTGATCCCTTATTTCCCTGATGACTACTTGGACGTCATCTTCTTAAAGAGGCTTCTCATGACCACCAGTTTAGCTGAAGCTTTCACTGTTCTTTACTGTTTTAGCCTCTATTCTTGCAGGTTGTAACTGGCCTTCTCTGCCCCTAGGATACAAGTTTAAGGAAGCCAAGAGACTTTTTTTTAACTTCCAAATCCCTGCCACGATTATCTGGGACTTAGTAGGTACATGACATTATTTTATACAAAACAATTCATATTCACTTACTAAGTCATTCAGCAAGAGTTATACATTTATAATGTATCAAGTAGTTTACCAGTATCGGAAATACAGAGATGAGTAAGACATAGTTTTGTTCCACTTGGTTTTCTAAGGAATTTGAGGTTTGGGAGAAATCTTCTGACATGTGAGCAGTAAATTACGAGACAATCTCTGAAGTGCTATAAGAAGTGTGCTGACAGTACAATGAAAATCCATATGCAGAGCCTCGACGT